TACTTATATACAAAGCATTAAGACAGGCAACTCTGAAATCCTGATTTATGCGTGCATTAGTATGATGATGACTTCACTGAGCAATTTTGAGGGGATTTCGGACGTTTAAACAACCAATCAGAATTGTCTTGTTTTTGTGACTTAAATTTCAATGGGGTTGCGTAAATACAGAGTATACTATGCATTTTTTTTATCTTATAAAGATTGTCGTTTTTTCCAATCTGACTTTTGTGTCTATATCCTCAGTTGTGGGAGTTAATTCTAAGTTATCATTTAGTTGGTAATGGTAATAAGGTCGTGTTCTGGAGGCGTATTCTAGTCATATTGGACGAACCAACAACTCAGCAACACTCCACCATAACATAAAGATCTAGTGACCACACTAACGATCTTAGTTCTTGACATAATAATAGTTAAGATTTTCACTTGATTCAATGGGCATTGAGCAAAGACGGTCTTTACGGATAAATTATGAGATGACCAAAGTCTAAGTATCTACTAAAAGTGCAACAGCTTCTTATATATATATATTATTGGCCTTGGTCCGCTGGTTTTATTTTACAATACAGCTATCTTTCTGTTCTGTTCACTCTTCAACCCAAGTGCAAAATTTATTCCCTTTACTATTCATTTAACTTTGTGTTCTGTTTATAACACAATGAAAGTGTCATCCATATATCTTCACACTACTTTCAAGGTAGGATTAAGTGCTTCAAAAGACACATTCTCTCAACTATCATCATGTACATTGATGTTCTCATTGCCATCCCCCTCTTTAAGTTTTTCTATATATATTTCGTCCTAATATTTGATGACAATAGTATACATGAGACATAATTGTATGATTTTGTTTTGATGGATAGCCCCTGTTTTGTTCTAGAGTCATATTAACTGGTATAAACGCAGGCTAGATCAACTAACCATCTTCGTGCCATCAGTTTCTATTTCAGTGTCATTTAACTTCTTTTCCATTCTTTAAATATTCCCAACTAGACAGCTTAACGAACGCATTAATGAGCATCTTCCTTCATGGTTCGGGAAAGGCCAAATAAAATCCATACAAAGTTCTATTTCGGCTCATTTGATTTATAGCGGTCACCAAGTGGACAAAAATATTACCTTCAAAGTTATCTATCGCATTCCATCGAGCCTTTCGAACGGAATTCGAACCCGTCTTTTATACATAGCAGAATCTATGGGAATTAATTCGAGAGAACAATCCTAGTCTTTGTAGTCAAAAGAAGTTTGTTCTACCACTGTCTCTCCCTTGGCCTAGGTGAATTCTATTCAAACCCCCCCCATCCTTTCTTATCATCCCTCTCCTTCGTACTTTTATGATATTTATTTAAACTCTGATTATCTGTCCACTTCACCTTTTAAGATTTGACCTAATTTATTTATTGAATTGTCTACATTTACACATGTTACTAACTTGGTTATTTTTATCGCAACCTGCGTAAACCTTATTATCAATATTTTGTTATCATTATAATCAACGTTATTAACTACGTTCAGAGCATTTACCACATTATTATTATTTGAACCACAAAATCACCGTCATCGGTTAAAAATCTTTATATATGAATCTACGTAAATCAGAGTGAAGCCTGATGAAGATCCAATTGAAAACAATATTGTTCGCTTATATGTCTTGTTTTTTTTCATTCATATAAATTGCCTGATCGGAAGTCAGGAACGATTTCCGATGGGATATACTATTGAAACTAAATGCTTAGATAACTCATAAGTAAGCAGGGAAATATTTCTAAAATTAGCAAGATTTGAAGTTTTAATTCAATCATATTTTATTCCAGTCACTCACTCTATATTAATGTTTCTCCTTTTTCCTTTCATTCTTTCACGTTCCCAATGGAACATAGGGTGGCTTCAAGCTAGAGGCTTGAAGTTTCGTCAGCAGTGATGTTTACTTGTACGGGGTGGATGGGGTTGCTAGCCAGCTTCATGCTCGACCAACCCTTTTTATTACTGGCTTAGCGAGGTAAAGGAGTGAGTCACGGGCGGGGGCACGAGCCCCGGACCACATACGTGATCGGCGAGCATTCTAACGCTGTGCCACCGACGCACCTAATGACGCAATCTCAGCACGGATCCAAAAAGCTCGAGCTGCTTTCGCTGACTTACACCATCTCTCGCGTAGGCGTGACATCCGACTGGCTATCAACCAAGGGACGTGTGTACTGCTCATCAGTTCGCTCCGTCCTTATCTATGGCTCTGAAACATGGCCAATACGAGTTGAAGACATGAAAAGGTTGACTACTTTCGATCATAGATGTCTGCGATCTCTGTCTCACGTTAGGTGGTTTAATAAGGTAAGTAATGTTGACGTTAGGCGTAGAGTGTTGGGCAAAGAAGGAAAATCAATCGACGAGGCTATAAAGTTACATAGACTGAGATGGCTAGGTCACGTGGTGCGCATGACTAACCATCGCCTCCCCCGACGGACGGGCATTACTAGCTGATACAGGTGCAGGTTGGAAAAGAGTAAGTGGTGGCCTAGCAAAAACATGGTCTCATCAATCCATGAAATCCTTGACAGTTAAACTGAGTCGGTCAGGTAGGGAGATGCAGACTTCCGGGTTTGGGCCCTAGGGACTGACTCTAGGAATCAATGGCTGGAGACAATGGGTGACATGGCTCAAAATCGTTGTCAATGGCGCAGATGTATTCAGCCTCTTTATTCTTTCATATTCCTTTCTACCATTACCCATTCTGTTTCGCTCTTATACTTGTCAAACTATTGATTCTCTTCGCTCATCTTCTTGTCTACCTTTGTGTGCTATTTGGAACGTGGCGACTCGAAATGGTGCACTTCGGTGCTAAGTTCTCTGTTGAATCCAGACAGAGACAGACGCACCTAATATTTCTCCCATAATTTTATCTTTACTGGCAATCTTATTCGATGATGATGTTTATAGATTCATGATTATAGCAAATATTCTTTCTGTTTTAAATATCTATTGGAAATTTAAGAGATCATATAACCAATTATATGGTGAGATACCTTCTGTTTTTCTAGTCAACATCAACTTGTGAGATAAAAGCGGTGTGTACTACATGTTAAGGATAATATTGAAGTGAGCTCTGGGAAATCTATTCCGTCGACAAGCTCGCCTGGTATCCTGAAGGAACCTGGTTAAAATCACTTAATTTTGCTTTTGACCTTTTGTGTGATATTCTTAATGAATTCATTGCATAGGATAGTATATTTAACACCAACGCCTTTACAGACAACGGTAAAAGCTGGCTTAGTTAAAAGTGTCTCACAAACCGAGCAATAGCACTAAGTAGCACTCTCATGTACATAAATGAAGTAAAACGTTGTGCGATTATGAGGGGCAATAGTTTATGCTCGAAACGTCATCGGTTAATACTACAGTATAACACCACTGTGTAATTTATCAAAATAGGATCTTATCTATAATGGAGTTATACTGTACCATCGCAGAGCCCAAGTTTTATACTACCTGAGTCCAGCTGAATGTGTTATCCTTGGGTTCAAGAGAGGCAGAGAACAATACAAATTTGAAGTAGTCATGAAGGAGTGTCGACTATTTGCGAACTACTTTTGTGGTGACAGCTGGCTGGCTAGCTAGCCAAATTGGTGGACAGTAATTTACGTCACTGTTTATGTCCCAAATATTGGTCATGTGAAAACAAGATCAGAGACTGACTCAACAACTAAGTACAACAGACTTTGTTTGCGTAGGGGGATACGATTAGCAGATAACAGATGATCTGACCTTCAAGAAACAGCCACAAAGAGATGAAAGATTAACTTTCAGTGAGAAACAACCACCAATCAGAAGAATGCGTTTGTTTCCTAACAATAATCTATAGTAATGTACATGAAAATCTATAAATATGTGTTGATTTGCTTGATAAAGGATCTGCTGCCTGACCCTTGTCTTCTGTTGTTACAACAGTAGTATGATTACAAATAAATGGTCCAATGGTAGAATGGATAGCCACCAACCCCATACATATGGTACGGGGTTCGATCTCCGGACAACGCATTGTTTACTCTCGCTTAACGGGCTTAATCAAGCCCCGTAAAAAAGCTGGACGTGAGACTGACTGACTGGCTGATTGACAACCCCACCACCACCACCACACCATGAGAAATAAACCCCACTGCTATACTGAAACTTGAAGCTCTATGTGCTACTCGGAATGAAAAGGAATAAAAGGTGGTAGGTCTGATGACGCTACCAAACTACAAAGTTAAACTGTAGCATGTGCTACTGATAAGACTCACCAGTAGTATACATACAAAGATGTTGATCGGTACAAAAAAATACCGGAGAGCAGGGAGACTTGACATTAATGGGACAGCAAATGACTAAGAGTTGCAAAGAAACATGGGAGACGTGAAAAGGAAGAAAAGAAATATAATACGAAGGAAGGGCAGAAGTAGCGCAACACGGGAAATCTGTGCAAATGATGACTTAGACATAAGACGCACATAATTTCGCTATATATATATATATATAGAGAGAGAGAGATATCAAATCCCACAAAAATATTCCTTTACCAAGTCTCTTGTGAGTCGGTGGTGCAGCGGTTAGGACGCTCGCCAACCATGCACATGGTTTGGGGTTCGATCCTCGGCCACAGACGCACTCCTTTACCTCTCTAAGCAAGAAATAATGCTGGTAAAGAGGGAAGGCTGGGCATGAGGCTAGCATCCCCATCCTGTAAAATAAACACTGCTACAGAAACTTCAAGCCACTATCTTGAAGTCCTATGTTCCACTGGGGAATATGAAGGGAAAAAAATCTCTTGTCTTCTACCGCCATTACAATAAGACTTTCAAGAAACCCAACCAGTAATAATAATAATAACAAGAGGTTTCCAGCTGAATTACAACAAAATAACAAATACTCACATAATAATTATTCCGGTTAAAAAAAATCACTGTTGAATATCACTCAAATGCAGCAATGAAAGGAGAGAGAGAGAGAGAAAAGTAATTACCTACCTTTAGGTGTGATAGATAAATATTTCCCACGAAATTTTGTAGATAAAAAATAATCTTGCCAAATTTTCCATTGATATCGAAGAGATTCACAGTGTTGACTACATCCAGGTGGATGATGACTAACCTTCAGATTAAGGTGTAAATAAACAAAAGATTAAATGTTAGCAAAAAACAGGTTGAATTACAATAACAAGGTTGATCATCCTCTTTTTTTTCTTTCTTTCTTTCGTAATTCATTGTACACAAAATGCTTAAACACCGAACAATCAGTGTTTGAAATAATAATTATAATAACGGATTTTTATCATGAGCTAACATTAGTTAGAGAACCATTCGGAAACGAACTGTGAGTACTGGACAACAGTTTCGTCCTAGTTTGGGACTCTTCAGCAGTACGCACCCACCGGGATTCGAACCCACGACCTTCGGGTTACAAGGCGAGCTCGTATTCCATTAGGCCACTGGTACCCGATCCAATGGCCCACGAATTCTAACTTCTGCCAACTGACGACGAGTAGTTTAATTGCCAGTCCCCTTACAAACGACCTGGAAAAGCCGGGAGTGAGTAGAAATCGGTCTTCCTCATATGTCATATAGCCTCTACCAGGATAAATCCTATTCACCGCCTTCAACTACAAAAGTATGAGAATTACAACCGGACTGGTGAACATGCAAGTCGGCCTGCCTGGAGAAGCTGAAAAACTCTGATTCGAAACCTATGCTGTTCATACCCCGGAGAATCCCCAGAGCACATTGAACGGTGTATGCGCCTGTTTTGGACATCGGCAACCATGAAAAGACTGCTCCTGACAATGTTCCAGTGCTTTTTAAGGGAAGGCTAATGGGGTGGCCTCCATAAGACAACCACTCACTTATGTCTGGGTGTCCGGTTGTATCAGAGCCCTCTCACACAAACTATGAGGTTTTGTGTAGTACACCTACCTCTTGGTGCTCGTAACGTACAAAGTTTGTGTTTCCATAAAAATTATGATAATAATTATTATTATTATATCCTCAGGACTGTGGTAATAAAGTGTATATTGACTCTTTTGAATAATGTATGTACACAGTTTGATTACTGTTCATTTGAATTATTTGGTCTGTATATATGTATATATTGGGATAAAAAAAACTTCTCAAGATGAACGACGATAATCAAGACCATTAGGGAAGACAGTTACACATCATTCGCAGAGAACTTCAAAACAGCACACTTCAAATTGATGTCGTCAAGAATTACCTACACAAATCTTCACAATTCAACTAGCCATCTCATAGAAAACAAGTCGTGACCAGTAGGATGTAGCAGGTCGGGTGTGAGGACAAATACTCGCCACGGAAGACATTGGCAAGGGATCGCGCGCTATGTTGTGAATTGGCAGAATTCATGGACTGGCCATTGGATCGGGTCGCAGTGGCTCAATGGTCTACAAGCTCGTCTTGGAACCAGAAGGTCCTGGGTTCGACCCGTAGTGGTGGGGGTGTATCACTGAAGAGTCGCAAACTAGTGTGACGAAACAGCTGTTCACAGTATTCCTTGGTTTTCTAATGATTCTCTCTAACTGACATCAATTCGTGGTCAAACTCGAAATATGTATCGATTGAGTTAATTAGGTTTTTTCATTCTTTCGCGCTCCCAATGTAATCCAAGACTTCAAGGTTGAGCTTTATTGAAGTTTTGTGGTACCAGAAGTGTTGATTTTTTTTACGGAGATGGGGTTGCTAGCCCCATATTTACCCGACCTTCCCTCCTTACTAGACTTTGCTACCGATTAAGTGAGGCTTAGAAGTGTATCTGCCGGGAATCGAACATGGAACACACGTGGGTAGCTAGCTAGCTGGCGAGCATTGTACAACTTAGCCAACAACACAATTGAATTAGTAGCAACCATTATAATACATAGAAATATTATTCAATCCAATCTATTCTATAAATAATTAACCCAGTATGTATATATATTTTTAAGTGACACAGAAAAAAAAAGTAATAAGGGCGTCAACAGATTATTTATTTATTTATTCATTACAATTGGAATTTTGTTTTCCTCTCATCCAACCTCTCTCTGTACGTGCGTCTTGCATCTGCACAACAACAACAACAATAGTGAACGAAAATATTCTGTTCAACTCATGCATACGTACACGTATACCTATATCCTACCCCGCCCCAACTGCCTCCTTTTCTTATGAAAACATGACCAAAACGGGTACGATATAGATATAAAAAGTAGAAGAAAGTAGTAATTGGATATGAGATACAAAATGAAGTTAACACACACACACACACACACAATAGAAGCAACCTTTCCTTTATACTAGCAATACCTGAAAGGAGGCTAAGGTGAATTCAGATGTTACGTAAAACACAATGAACCAAATAATAAAAATCATTTATGTTAGTACTAGAGAGATTGTATTATATTATTTATTTATTTAAGCGCAGAAAAAAACTTGGTACAATATGCCACCAAGAAAGATGCGCCACACAATAATAATAAAAACTACGTAGATCAAAATTTATATATATATATATATATATAAGTAGAGAACGGATAAAGATCTTCATCTGGGAGGAAAAAAGTTATGCTTAACAAGTTCAAACAGTATTCGTTAACTATCATCGGGAAGGGAAAAAGAAAGAAGGAAATTGCAACACCGCCATTGATGACTGCGATTCTTGGCCATATCCGATAACGTTTCGAGCTATCACACATACACCAACTGGGGAGTCGTGACACACCAACCGATGCACACCAATCTAGCACAAACATCCTTCATCCCACGACGCCACGTCATGGACTGACCACCACTACGCCTTTTCCATCCCGTCACAGGGCTGACTAGCGAACAGAGACCTGTACAGAAGCCTCCTCTGGGATGACATTCGTAGCACATGTTCAAGCCACTGGAGCCGGTGTTTCCAGATAACGACACTCAATGAATGGTGATCTTCACTGTGTTCAAACACACGTTGCCGAACCTCAGAATTACTCACGCGATGATTCCATCGAACGCAATCAATCCTGCGGAGAGAGCAATGATCGAACACACAGAGTCGCCGAACATCTTCAGCCTATTCAGAGAGGCCAGGTTTCACAGGCCTGGCATAGAGCAAGACAGCCTGCATCGAAGCATTTTATACCCGACCTTTGACAGCCAGGCTAACGTCGCGACGGCGCCATAGGTGGCTCAATTTCATCTATGCCACCCTAGCCTTCATTATACGGTTGGAAATCTCATCCATCACCCCTCCGCTTCCAGCATTCACACAACTACGCAGATAGACAAACTTATCAACAACTTCAAGCGGTTTACCTGCAATCAAGAGTGAGTGCAGGTACAGGCTCCTACCAATCTTGTAACAGTACTTTGCACTTAGACGGCGCAAAACACATACCATACTTACAGACACTGATCGCCAACTGATGAAGTGAGATTTGGACAGCCTGAATGCTATCGCACAGTAAGACGAAATCGTCTGCATACTCGAGGTCGAAAAGTCTATCTTCAGGTAGCAAATCTACACCACCTTTACGCACATCCCTCAGAGGTGACTCCAGAATGTCATCGATGGCAAAGTTAAAGAGAAATGGAGAGATTGGGCAACCCTGTCTAACCCCACTGTTGGTTGGGAACAGTGATGATAGCTGGTTGGTTGTATGCCCTCACTCTACCTGACGAGGTGTTTCTGTATAGGGCTTTCAAGGTGTTAACAGATTTCTCAGGTACACCTCTCTCTTCTGTAGCAGACAGTTCCAGAGCACAGTTCTGTCTAACCAATCGAAGGCAGCCAAGGAGCACTGGGGCTAATGACAGCAGACACTGAAGCTGGTGGCCACCTAAACTGTTTCCCGAAGTGCTCTACCCGGCGTTCCAGGCGTCTTTTAAGGTTAATGATTGGTGTGCCATTTGCCTCACAGACCGTCTCGCTGGCACCTTGATTCTTGCTGCCGGTGGCTCGGATGAGTTGGAACAGCTTCCGACTTTTGCCAGATGCAGTAGCTGACTCCATCTCACACGCACGTTCTGACCACTAGGCTTCGCAGTCCCTACGTAAACACTGCCCTATCTTGCGCGTAAGCGCCTTTCACTTATTGTTTTATTCGCTGCCAGCCGGAATGGACCGGCGTTCATCCAGGAGTTGCAAGGAACTCATAGAAACCCAGTGGTTTTTTATCGGAGCTTTCTTTCAAGCCGCAAGCGGCACCTTGCAGATGAAGCCAATGTTCATCTATACTACTTGGGGGGTTGCTGGCAAGCATTGGTTGTAACTTATTCTGGTATTTCAAAGAAGTACCAGGTGTTACTAGTTTGCTAACATCAAAATTTAGACGACGACTTTTATGAACCCCACCAAATCGCAAGACGAACTTGGCACACACTAACGCATGATCGGAGTCCAAGCATGTGCTCCAGAAGGAGCGGCAGTCTTGTATGCGTCCTCGCCACCGAAAACTGACAGCAATATGGTCAATCTGAGTCCAAGCTTGATTCGCAGAGGGTGGACGCCAGGTAGCGCTACGGCAATGGTTGTGCCAGAAGTTAGTGCTGGCTAGAAATAGGTTGTGATCCGTACAAAGCTGCAGAAGACGATCCCCATTATCCGACCTGAGGCCATGTAGGCCCCATTGACCACCTAGACGATTCTCCTCTGAGCTTAGACGCCCAACCTGTGCATTCAAGTCCCCAGCCAGCACTACGATATCCCTCCGAGCCGTCTGTCTAAAGAGATCGCTAAGTTGGTGGTAGAACTCATCCTTCATTGCATCCGGGCTGTAATCCGTCGATGCATAGCCAAAGACAACAAATAGACACCGCCTATCTGGCCTACTACTCCTTACTTTCGTATAACCTTCCAGCCTCACAGCACATAAACAAATGTTAATGGGAATCCAGTCGAGCAATGCAGCTTCGGCTCTAGCGGTCAGTACGACACCGGCATCAGCTACGCCGGATGCTAATGCCACAGGGTCCCAGCACAAGCGCAGGTGGTACATACTACTAGAACTTTCGGATGGAGAGGATAATCGAAGCAATTCACTGAAATCTTGAATGCGGGTCTCCGAAACACAGAAGACATCGATAGCGAGGCTTTCCAATGTTCTTACCAACCATCTTAGTTAT